AAGAAAAAGTGATATATCAATTGTATAAACACTTCAGAGGTCAAATATTGGCTCCCATTTCCTGTCATAAACGCACAGCTTTAATTAAACACTCTGAAAAGCGCTGGTAAAGTGAATTATTTTCCTTTGTTACCCACAAGATGAAAATCTTAAAGAGTGTCCTCAGATGCCACATGTGGGAATGCCTTGAATGTGCAGGAAAAGGAACACGGCTGCTCCCAAAGAAAAGCTCCAGGCAGCTCCTGGGGTGAGCCATGGGGCAGTCCCAACGAGACCACCACAGCCTTTTCTCCAAAAAAAGCAGCAAGAGATGGAGCTTGGAGGGGATGGGCAGCAGCCAGGGGAGGACAGGGATGGAGGGGCAGCAGCCAGGGGAGGACAGGGATGGAGGGGCAGCAGCCAGGGCAGGACAGGGATGGAAAGGCCAGGGGAGGAGGGAACACAGAGGAGCAGCACTGTGCCATGCTGATCCTGCTTTGCCTGCAGCCAGGAAGGAGCCCCAGGGAGCTGCTGCTCTGAAGAAAGAGCTGGAGGGAGAAAGGAAGGGAAAATAAGGCAGAGGTCTCTGCTCGCTGCCCACAGACACCTCAGGGAGCTGCTCCAGCCCCAGTCCCAGCAGCAGGCTGGAGACAGGGTGGAGCCAGCACTCATCATCATCATCATCAGACTGTGCCTCAGCCGTGTCCCTTGGTCAGCTCCTTGCAGAGAGCCAGAGGCTCAGACACAGGATCCAGGCTCCCTCCCAGGAGCTGTGCTGTGGGACACCCATGGGAGAGCTCCACTGAGCTGCCTCTTTAAAACAGAGCAGGGAGACTCCCTCCTTCCCCTCCCAGGGAATGCATTGCATTGTCATTAATTATGTTTTGGATGACTCCTGTAAATCATGCCTTCAAATAATTGGACAGTGGTTTAATTCGAGGCCTGATAAAAAACACATTGAAAGCTGAAAGAAGGGTGCTGCTGGAAAGTTTGTTTGTGCAGGGCTCTTTTTATGGAGAGTCAATCCTCTGTTTAAAGCTTCCACTAATGGGCCAGGCTGCTTGGAAAGTTTCCTGATTTAAACACTCACACCACGGATCTTTGCTCTCACACAGGACCTTTGAGACCTCAGAGAGGACCAGGATCTCACTGGGCTCTTTCCCTCAAGACCATGGTCATGATGCAGCCAGCCTGGCCTAGAAAACAGGGATAAGGATTGTGAAAGAGATCACAAATTCTCTTGAATTATCCTCTTTTCTCTTATGAAAGCCCTTCATACTCAGGAAATGCTGGGGGATTAACCTATCCTCCAAAGAAGGGAAAAGCTTGCAATTAAGAGGAGCTCCCTGAGTACTTGCCCCTTATCTCGGCCCCTCCCATGGAAAGGCCAGGAAATCTCCATAAAAAATAACTTCAGGAGAAGAAATCTGGCAAATCTGGGCCTTGTGGGCTGGCAGTGATGGAGCTGTGAACCCACAGCACCAACCAGTGCCTGGGGCCCAGACTGAAAAGCTTCGTCCCAATGACACCGAGGGTCAGGATTGATATAAACACAATGGAATTTGTACTGATTAAGGCCTTTCCTCCCCACTCTGGATATAGGATTTCCTGTACTGAAACATGTTTGAATGTATTATTTCTATGCCAGGGAAGGGAAAACACTCTCATCCACTGAGAGGAGGAAAAGATACAAAGCAAAGAATCTCAGCTGAACAACACAAACGTTGGGGACTTGCATCACTGCTGACCACGCTCTTCCCCAAAGGTTTTTGGGAAGGAAACTGCAAGCCTACAGCCATCAGGAAAGGGGAGAGAGAAAACAGAGTATTAAGAATTTGCAGTATTAAAGCTCTAATTCATGTTCTGGAGTAACTGGATAACCCCGTGGGATTCTTCTGCCTCAAAACCATGGGAATTTGGAGATGATCAGCAGGTTGACACAAACACACTGGTCAGGGCAGTTCCTTGAAGTGGAACTTGTTTATCACAATTGAAGATATTTTTTCTGCACCAGCCCACACAGTTCAAACTGAAAGTGCAACAGTGAAGCAGAATTTTTACTCCACAAAGAAAATGGAGAAACAGCAAAATGGTCTTTACCAATGTGTATTCCAATGGTTAAATGCAATAAATGGGTGATGAGCTCAGTCCACCACAGACTTACTCACTCAGTACCACTGGGAGTAAATTAAACCTCCCAAGTGAAGTTCTGCCTCATAAAAATTCCCCTATGCAGGACACATCCTGCCACTCACGTGCTGTTCTGCAAGAGGCCTGAAAGAATGAAAGCATTTTGTGGTGCTAAGATGATAAAACAGATCTCCAGGACATCTTTCAGCAGCACAAGCAAAATAGTCCTGGGACTGTTAGTGATCCCAGGGAAAATAAACACAGGGACCCCAGCAGCCCTGGGATTGTTGGAGAGGCTCCGTGGGTGGCTTGCATTGCATTAAGGGTAAGAAGGTTTCTTTTTCAAAGGACGTTTTGCTGTTTAAAAAAGAAGTGAAAGAAACAGGCATTACCAGCAGTGGTCATTCCAGGAGATGCATGAACTCAGGACTGACTGCATGGAAAAAGGCATCAATACCTCAGCTGCTCATCCATCACAAGGATCACACTTTGCTTTGTGCTGTTGCACTTGGGGAAAATGCAGATGCCTTCCAGAGGGTTCCTTCACTCCAAGCTTTTCGCTGCTCGGGACATTCTCCAGCGGGCAAGCCCTGAGCAGTGGGGCTGTGAGGAGCCAGACCTACGCCAGGGAACATTTCCAGAGCAAAACTGCACAAATTGTCTGAATCCAGCCTTCACAGGGGAGGCTGCAGCAGGCGAGGAGACCTCCAACAACAAAGCACTCCAGAAAACAAAATAAAAAATAGCCAGAGGAAAAACAAACAAAGGGCCTGGAGAGTTTTCAGAGGAAAGCAAAGAGTAACCCTTGAAAGGATCAGTAAGCCAACATTGCCTCAAGCCCAGGGGAATATGGAAAACTTCAACACAATCCTGCTGAGCTCCCAGTGTACATGCAGCACAAACCATCAGCACAGGAAGCAGAGGGCTCTGGAAGCACTCGGCTTCACAGCCACACAGATTGTGTTGAAATGGAAAGGCACGAGGAGCCACGTGTCACTAATTAATGTTTTTGGCCTGGCACAATGCAAATCAAATTCAGTAGATATTCAGCTGGAATATATGGGCCAGATCAATACTGAGCATCCATTCCTTGACACTTCCTTCCTCCAGTCCTTTCTCAGTCCAAACTCAGTGTGGAGACACTTCTGCCTCTCTCCATGCTGAATTACAAGTCCAATTGCTCATCCTGTCCCCCTGAAAGGCAGGCTGGATGCTATCTCCAGGGAAATGATGCCTGTTACAACTAAATTTTAATTTACACTCTCAAGTCTGAGCTTTTCAAATCCCTATTGAGCAGCTGTCAGGTACAGTGTCACTGCAGTAATTTGATCAAGTAGTTGGTGGCCAGAAGGAGATGATTAAATGATCAAACCAGCAAATTCAAAAGAGTTTAGAAAATCCCATCTGAATACAAAAAGTTAAGCAAAACACTGTCATGAAAACATTTCTGATTCCCATCCAAAAAAGCCTACCATTTATTATGAAGCCTTTAAAATTGACAATGAGGGAATTCTTCACTGTGGTCTCGCCCTCACTTTCACCCTACAAAGCAATGCTGTATGGAGGCAGAGTAAACACTCTGTGCTCTATTTTCCTAAATAAAGTGAAGGAAAAAAACAGATCAATGTCTATTCTGCTGCCAGCAGATATGGAGTCAATTAAAAAACTAAAATATACAATAACTTAACTCTTTGCACAGAACTCCAAACATATCAATACAGTGAGCAGAAAATTGTTTTCCATACAAGCACTGAAACACCCTGGGTTGAAACACACTCTCAGGTTTTAAATTTTGAAGGTGAATTTGTTATTCCAAAACCAAGGGATCAGCAGGCAGCCCCCAGGCAGTTCTCACAGCCACTGCAAGTTTTCTCCTTGACCAATTCTGCCAAGGACGTTCCCCAAATTTATCTTTTCCCAGGACCAGGGGATGCCAGGTATGGCCACCCTGGCAGCAGGGACATGCAGAAGAGGCTTTAGCCTTTCTCCAGACTCCAGCTTTGGGAACAAGGACAGCAGGCAGTGCTCACCCTCCTGCCAGGCAGATAAAAGTGGCCCTGGTGCTCATGAGAAGCTGAAAACAGCCAACAATCTTAATTTTTGAAGAGCAGTTTTTGTCCTTTTGTTTTCCAGTTCCACATCTGCCTTGAAAACATTCACCTCATCTTTTCATCCAGTACCAAACCAAAATCCTTGGATCAGCTCCTGAGTAGGGGGATGTTTTGGAGGTGAATCTACTTTCAGAGCTCAAATCTGGGATTGGGCAGCAGCTCTCCCACACTCTGGGGGCTTTGCTGTGCCTTCCAGTATCCCAGGAATTCTGCAGGCCTGGCTGGGAGAGCTGCTGTCTGTATTTTCCTCTAGGACAGGATTCCAGGTGCCACATCCCCACATGATGCCATTACATGCTGCTGGAGCCAAGCAAAATGTTCCCTTGCAAATTTTGGCTCTTCCTTCCAGCTTAGCCCTTACTTAGACAAATTCTCCTGCCTTTAGATTTTTAATCCCCATTAGCGCCGCTGTTTTCTTGAATAAAAACTTTTCAAAATGGGCAAAGTCCAGGAGACTTTGTTAGAACAGCTGCACAGCTCATGCATTACAGCTCCATTTCCAAATGTTTTCAACAGTGTGGCACAATCTGAGGAGCTCACACACATAAAAATCCACCTTGACACACTCTGAAGAAGGCAGGGACTATAGCCAAGGTACTGGGAACCACCCCTGCTGCAGGCTGGGTGTAGCTGTGGCATCAAAAGAGGTGCACAATTCCAACAGCTGCTTTTTGTCACTTATCTGGGCACATTTCAATGCTTTGGAGGCAGGGGGGACTTTGTTGTGTCCTCATTCCCCTCACTGGTACCGGTTGCCATGGCAGGCACTCTCCCCCTGAGCCTTCAGCTCGACTTCTTGGCTAGAAATACCAACTCCTGCCAGGGCTGTTCTGAGACAGCCCTGGTATATCCCCAGCCTCGTAAAATAATTCCTTCAATACTGCAGAACTGGATTTCTGAGGTAACTTTTGTTCTCCCAGCATCTGGTAAACATTGGCCTCAAGCCCCAGAGAGGGAGCAGCTCCCAGCCCCAAATGCCTGAGGCAGGGACTGGAGCAGCAAACATCCCCAACCTCCCCCAGGCCTTGGCATTTCAGAGCCAGCTCCAGATAAAAGCTGTTTACTGCCTTCACCTGCTCTAGGAACAGAAGCTTCTGGAATGCTGCAGGAAGTCTCAGGCTGGAGGGATGCACAGTCTGAGCTGGACCCAGGCTCCTGCCTGGGCTGTTCCCAAGGCTTCTGTGAGCCCACTGACCACAGCTAAGCTCACCCTGGATTCAGGACTCTCTTTGCCCATGTGACTTAAGTTTTCCTGAGAATTTCACCCACTTAAGAGGGTTTTAAGCACCCCTAAGTTTCAGTATCCAGCAGTGGGTCTGGCCACCTCTCCCAGACCCTGGTGAGCACATCCCTCCCCTGGGCCCTGCCTACAGCAGGGACAATGCCAGGCCAAGCCAGGCCTGAAGAAAACCAGACTTTAATGCCATTTAAGAATCACACTTTTGCATTCTTTGAGAGTTAAATAACCAGTAGAAATAATACTGAAGTGATAGACCTGTAGCTTTCTTTTTTCTTTTTATGCCCGCGTACTCATTCACATGCCCCATATGTGGCTCTGCCTATGTAGTTGTGTTCATCTCGAGCTTTTTCTGCTCCCCTTGCAGTGCTGCTCACAGAGTGAGGGGCAGCACAGCTGGGGGAACATCTGGGCATGCCAGAGCTGATCCAGCACTGCCACTCTGACCGTGTGCTCAGAGGGATGGGCTCGGTGAGGATCCAGCCTTGGACACAACCTGTGACTTCTGCAAGGCTGCATCAGCTGCCCATCAAACAGTGGTTTTAGTTCCTCCAAGTCAGAGAAATTGTAGCATTCACTTGTAGCCATCTCCAGAGCCTGCTACTACCATTGCTTGGCTTGTAAAATACTATTTCCTACTAATTATTCTTTAATTACTTTCAACATTTAGCTTGTGATCTTCCAAGCAAGTGTCTGTTTCTAGCTGAATTGCTTACAGTCATTTACACCCCAATTGTTCTGGAAAGGAATATAAAGTTAAACACTGCATTAAAGTGTTGACACAAATTCCAAAAATTTGGATTCTAGCTATTTCAGACTAGGCACCCTTACTCACTTGATTTATTTTTATATATATTTATTCTACAAAACAATCCTGAGCTACCTTTAAATGATGGTAAAAACCCATTTCTCTTGATTGGAAACACTGGGAAAAGCCACTCATTTTAGTGAAGCATTCAGGTGAAACTCTGGTAAAAACCATGCAAACACATGAGAAATGAATCATTTCATCTCCAGACTGGAGTTTTCACAGCTTGCTGCAAGGTTGGCCTTGCCCAAGTGGAGGATAAAGAGGAAGAATTAATATCCTGAAAACACACAGCTAATTGAATGAGCAGTTCTCTCCCACGTGGGGTGGCTTCCCTTCCCAGCACGATCACCTGGACACAGGTAGGACGAGGCTGCAGAGCTCCTGCAGCCCTGAGCTCACAGATATGCACAGGATACTCACTTGTGGAGTCAGAACCACTTCAAATGACAGCCCAGAAACTCCCTCCTTGCTTCCAGGGCTCCCTGTGCTGCTCTCCCCAGCTTTGGAGCCTTCCCTGCACAACCAGAAGGTGCAAATCTTCCTTTGAAGCTTTGTTTGTTTACTCGCTTTTAAATGGGAAACTGCCAAAATCCAGAGACTGTTTTCTAATTTGAACATTTTTATTTTCCACGGGGGAAAAGCAAATCCCACAACACAAGTAATTGCCATTCAATCTCTACCCTGGGTTAGAGTTCCCAGTCGGTTTCTCATCTTCCAGGGCTGAAAGGAAAGATTTCCCTTGGGACCTGCAAACGATCCCTCCATTATGCGGAGGCCGTGCGTGCGCATTCCCGGGATCACAAATCTGAGTTTACTTGAGTGACTTTGGCATGGCTGCCACCAATCCATATTAAGCCATTCCCCAATATTTATTGTCAGCAGCATTAGAGGATGCCTTGCCTCCTGTTTCAGAACTTAATGGCCCATTGACCGCACTTCCTGCGAAGCACAAACTGTGTCCCACGACACTAAATCTGTGCCACGCTAATGAAAAGCCCTTTTTATTTCAGGCCAGTATCCAGAGTGGAAATGATTTAGATCACAGTCACTGGGTATTTTAACTCACTAACTCACTATTTCTTTAGTAATTAGAGATGAGGCCCATGGCAATGCCAAGCTGTAGGCTGACCCAAACATGCCTATCTATTCTGGATACTCTCCTGGAGATTTTTATTTAACACATTGCAAATTAGAGCTGAGGTGGGAATGAAAAATTCTTTGGCACAAGTGAGAGACGCAGATGAGTGCATTTTCCACTTGGTTTTTTGGTCCTTAACACAGCAATACGTTATTTCATGTTAAAGACACCCAGATGAGATGTGACAACGGGGACGAGCTGGATTCCAGCAGGGCCCTGCTTAGGAGTGCAAAAGCAGAATGATTTCCCCTCAGCACCTTTGGGCTTTCCTGCAGGGTGACTCGGGCAGAGTCACCCACACAGACTGGCAATCGCTTTTTCCTCCTCTTTTTATGTTTGTTATTTTTCTAACCTCTTCAATCTCACTTTGCTGAAGCAGAGGAAATGAGGTAAATTGGTCCTAACACAGGCCAGGAATTGCTGTCCTACTCCTGACACGGGGCTTAAAGGCACTGTGGGAGTGGAACAGTAAATCTCTGGAGCACAAATTTCTTGTGATAACACTAAATTTACCCAAATTTTATTGCTAAGATACAAAGTGTTATGGCAACACGAAAGAAAACAAATTCTAAGGTTTTCCTTTAAGGCATAAAGATCCACAAAACTCCACATAGTGCAGCCTGCACTTGAGCAGAGACATGGTGAGAATTCAATAGCACAACTGTGCACTCACACGCTCTTTTTCAGTCCTGAGACACTCAGCAAGCACATCTCTGAGCCTGCTGTAGGGATTTGGATACTCCAGATCCCTTCAGTGCCATCTGCTTTTGCATTCCCTCTTTATCTCCAAAGAGAAGCCCAAGAGCACTGCAGGCACTGGTGTGTGCTGGCAGGTGGAGTGCAGCAGGGTTTGGAGTGGAAATGGAATATTTTCCTGCAAGTTAGCAAGAAACAAGTGTGAAAGTCAGTGTAACCCAGAGACCCTCCCAAGAGGATTAAATAAATCTGAGGATAAGAGTAACAACACAAAGGTCAGTGTTTCCAAAAACATAACCTGTGAGAAGCATTGCTAATTACATATACAGACAAATATACACACAAACCATCCCGTGCTTGTTGTAAGATTATTTTGGACCTAAAATCCACGTTCTTCTCCTTGAAGTGAAAGCATCACCTTGATTCCACATGGATAAAGCAATCCCTGCAGTCTTTGCCTCCATCCTATTTTTGATAAGATATTTCTACTGTGTATCTTAGGTTAAGTATTAACTTACATGAGAAACAGATGTTTCCCCTCTGCAAGGAAAAGCATCTTTTCAAAGGTCATCAGTGGGAGAGAAGGACTTCCAGGATTTACACAAGGCACTGGCAGTTCTGGCCACTGTCCCTTCTGCTTTTAAGATCTTTTCCATTTGGCTTTAACTCTACCCAGTTTTAAAGAAGTTCTTTCATCCCACTACCTGGTAAAAGATATTTTCCATACTTCCATTGCAACCAGATTCATTCACTGGGCCATTCCTAAAACCACAAAGGCTATTTTGTTGAATAAATCTAATCCCTGTGTTCATTCCTAAGCATAACTCAAAATATTTCAAGGGTGCCTCCCCTCCTTTAGATGTTTTAATATTGGATAGGGAGATTTGCAGGATATAAGCTTTACAGCCTGTGAAGTTTTCACATCTCCAGGTGGAATTGCTTAACAGGTACAAAAAAAGAAAACTTAAAAAAAAGAAAAAAGAAAAAAGTGGGGAGAGAAGACTTGAACCTGCTGGTCCACAAAAGAGAAGTTAATAAACCACAAAGAACTGTAAAACAGTAAAGTTTTCCTCACTGGTTAAACACAATGGAATTAATGATCTGAGTTTCAGGGATATCTAAAAGCTGTATTGCATTACTTTGTATAAGGAATAAGCAGTCCCTGTCCCCTTCCAGTATTTCACTCTCTTCAGGAGGGTGGGGAAGAACTTTCCTAGATAATAATGTAAAAATAAGCAGATGTGCAAAGATAAACAGCACATAGATACCAACAGCAGAGCAGGGAACAGCTCAGACCAAAATTAACATCAGCACCCAGAGAATTAAGAGAATTTGATGTGCAATCCTTGATCTCAGCACGTGAATAAATCAGGATGGAGGAAAAGGCAGATGTAACCTGAGATTCTCAGCCTGGATCTGTTAACTCCAGTGACTACAGGCAGGGACAACATCCCAGTGCTTTGCACCACCTGCTCTGGGAATCATAAATGGATTTTAATGGAGACTGAGGAGCTGTGAATGGAGGAAGAACTCTCTCTGCTTCCTTCCCAACAGCCTCACCTGATCTCCCAGAAATCCTCAGACTGCTCCTGGAACATTCACACCTGGCAGGTGGCACAGTCCCGGTAGCACAAGGCCTTGGCTCAAGCCCTGCTCTTGCTGATGGATTTTTCCCCAAAGCACCAGCTGTCCCCAAGGTTCCCAGCCCCAGCTGGCCATGCCCTGTGCTGAGGAAGGGAGCAGCACCCGCAGCTCCTGGGGGATGTGGTCCCTGCCTGCCCTGCCAACAGCCACAAACCTCCCAGAGAGGAGCAGGAGCACTCCAGGGAAGGGCAGAGCGATGCCAAACCACAGGGTGGGGCAGGGAGAGCGTCTGCAGGAATTCTGCAGCTCTGGGACAGATAGCATCAGGGACTGAGGATGTCAGGATCACACACATTTGGAATTATCAGCAAGTCACCCCTCAGGAGAGCACGGACCCCAGTGCGTGGCCCTGCACCGGCTTGGCCTGCTCTTGAGGCCTTTTTATGCTTTAAATAAACAGAATCAAAGTCCAAGAGTTAAAACTTGACTTAAACTCTTATAAACTGCCAGTTTCTGAAATCACACAAGCAAACAATACTAAAATAAATAAAACCTACAGGCGAACCCTTTCTAAGAGCCCACAGCATTGTTAATGTCAGTACCAGAGAGCGTTTGTCTTCTGTAAAGTTATATGAAGCCTTGGTTTGGCTGAACTCACGTTGTCTGGTCACTTCTCCCTTCCCTGGAGAGAATATGAATGGTTTCTATTTCGAGGAGGTTACAGGTAGCCATAAATTATCACCTAAGTGTGGGCTGCCTCAGCCCCAGCACCTTGCCAGCTCTCTGGAGCACTGGATGGCTTTGGCACTGAAACCTGCCAAGTCTTGGGCCACGTCAACTCAGTTTTTGACATGTGTTATGTGGATCACAGGGAACCATTGCAGAGACCTCGTTATGGAAGAATGAAGCATTTTTTCCCCATCTATCATAGGTACTTTTCAGATGACTGCATTCCTGCAGGACTAAATCATCTTTTTTAAAAGCAATTTTAGCTCCTCACTGCCCGTCCCTAAAATATCAGCCATGACCAGGTAGCTCAGATTGTCACTGAACAGAGTTAATTATCACATTGCTAATTGTGGAGCTTTGTCTTCCAGGCACAAAAAGAAATTAATTACTACATTTAACTTTCTGACTCAAAGAAGTGAGTTGACATAAAATCCTGCCACGAGTGGAGATGCACACAAAGGCCTTTTCCAAAGTACACATTCCCTTAATGCTCTTGGAATAAAGCTATTTATATGTAATGCATGTGATATATGTTAGCTCACTGATCTTTTGTAGTGTATGAAGGGATGTACTTTAAAGGCAGAGTTTAATTAAGTTTCTTAACACTCCTTTGTGAGGATAAAATAATCATTCCTGTTTTGCAGGCAAATGCTAAAAAGTTAATTAAATTACAAGATCCAGACAGTGACTTAGAGGCAGGGGCAGGAAAAGAGGTCGGAAGTCTCAGCTCCAGTCCCAGCTGACAGGAAACTCTCCCCAGTGAATGTTCTTGATCAAGACAAATTTCACCTGACTTCAGATCTCACCACAAAGCTCATATTTTCCTGAAGAGACAACCTGAACTGTGAGAAACAGTTTTCCTATAGAAAACATTAAATAATCTGAGTGTTGCAGAATGGTAACAATGATAAAGGAATACTTTGAATTCCAAATCTCAAAAACTCATAATTAAAGACTCAGAATTAAAAACTCAGAATTAAAACTTGAATCAAAGCTGCAAGAACCTGAAAAAGTGCAATACAACACCTGATTTCTTTGGATTCTGAAGCTTCTGAAGGGTTCTGCCTTATTTGCTTCCTTCATCAAGTCCACGATAATCCAAATTAAATTAACAAATAGTTATTACTGGATGCAAAAATGCTGTTTGAAAGAAAAAGTGAGCTGGAGGGCAATCATTAAAATGATCCAGGTAGAAGGTCCACTGATTTACATAGAAATGATTTGTTATTATTGTATTAATGATGTCATTTCTTTATCAAGTCACGATACAAACCAAGTCAAGTGCTTGGCAGGGGATTAAAGGAAAGCTGCAACCCAAGTGAACATGCACAGCTTCATTCTTCTAGAAGAAAGCTTGAATATTCAGTTCATTGCGCCATCACTCCTTTGATTGGGCTAATTAAGTCAATTATGTAAAAATATTCTGTCTTGCCAGGGTAGGCAAGACTTGAGGAACAGTGGAAAAGAACAGAGAGAAGGAGGGTGCCCAGAACTCTTGAGGAGAACCAAGCAAGAAGGGTGAAAGTAAACCCAGTAATTTGGGAACACAGGAATTAGGGAAATCTGGTTTGTGACACAGCCTGTGGTGGAGTCATGGCAGAGCCTCAGTGGATCCTGGGATGTTCAGCAAGATGTGAGAGCTTGTGAAAGTCAAAATATTCATGGCATCTCCCTTGTCAGGGCAGCTTCTCTGTATGACAGAACGTGGGGAGTGTTAAATTCCTTTGGGTGAGCAGCTTCAGCTGTATCTGGAGATACACAGACACACAAAACAACTTTTCAATGGAAAAGCAGCTCCTAGACACACAGAGCATCAGAGAACAGGGCTCATGAGGCTGAAGGGACTGTGCATCCTCCAGTCACCACTGGAATGGCTGGGAAAGCTGCAAGGCTCTGGAGACACCAGAAATCCTCCTGCATTTAGAGCATTTAGGGCTCTGGGGAGACACTCAGGGGATTTTGCAGCTTTTAGAGAAGACCCTGCAGCATTTCCTCTAAATTCAGCAGGTCTCTGAGCCTGACCTGTTTTCCTGCTGCCTCGTACATCACTCAGCTCAAAATGCAAAATTGCAAAAATGGAGCAGATGAGAACAGTGGTCTTTAGCACAGGTCAGCTTTCTGTTCCATAGGGAGAATAGGTGTGGCTTTGCCTTTCATTGCTTACTACAGTTAACCAAGCTGGCCTGGTGTGGGTGTTACTGTCTCTGAGCACCTGCTGCACTTCCCTGCAGAAAAGCTCCTGGTGAGCAGAACCCTGCAGGGGCAGGTGACAGAGTTGGGGCAGCACATAACAAAGTGTCCCTGCTGGAGCACGAGGAGACACAGGGACACAGCAGGGACTGTCCCCTTTGCCCAGCTCATCCTCTGGGCAGTGCTGGGCAGCCTGACCTGCACAAACCCAAACCAAACCTCAAAGCAGCGCGGTGCCCCTGCCCTGAACTCGGCACCGAAGCGGGAGCAGCAGCTCTGTGCTGGCCTCCGGTGCTCCCCAGGTGCAGAGGTGAGCATGAGGTAATCACACCTCCTGAATGTGAGGTTTAGTCTGTAGGAAAGCAACGGAATTGATGTCATTCTGGCACGCAGGGTGTTTTTTCTCTGTAAATTTAGCAGCCAGTAGCACACTGAGCTCCAGAACAGTGTGTGCACTATGCTACACGTGGATCCCCCAAGCCAGGGCACAGCCTCAGCCAGGCCAGGAGTTTGTGACCTTGGCCATCAAACCCTCCTCAACACTCCCAGCCCAGCTGGGACACCTCACTGTGGCCTCCCCATCCCTGGAAGTGTCCAAGGCCAGGTTGGAACCAGGGAATAGTGGGATAGTGAAAGGTGTCCCTGCCCATAACAGAGATGGAATGTGAGGAGCTTTAAGGTTTCTTCCAACTCAGACTATTCTGGGATCTATAACACACACTGAGAAGGGGTTTGAACAGAAACTCTGTGTGTTTGCTCACAGAATCTAAACTCTCTCTTAGGGGTGTATTTCCCAAATGATGCAGCAGGTTGCTGCATTTTCAGCCCTTTTTTTATTGCAAAATGCTCTTGTGGATACAGTTCCTTTACCAAGTTTAAAGCTTGAATTCCAGTTTGACTACCTGCCTTAGAAATGAGCAGAGCCCTTTCAATGGATCAAAGGCTTGCACTTAGAGGAACAAAACATATTGTTCTAAAGGTAAATACATTTCAGCTTATTAGTTATTCATCCTCACGCTCTCAGACAATGAGTTTTTAAGGTTTTTCAAAGTCATTGAGCTGTCCTGTTATTAGACTTTTAAAATGCATTAGGCTCCTCATTAGGTGGCCACACTGCAATGACACATGTACTCTATTAGAAGCTGTGAACTTCTGCATGCCAGTGCTTCTGGGTTCTTTATTTTGTTTTACCAATGAGAAACATTTTATATGAATACAAGACTTTATTGTAAAAAAAAAAATAATTATATTTCCCCAGTGTCTTTTTGTGTCAACAAAGGGCTTTCCTGGAGAGTAATGAGTTTGCACTAAGCAGGCAAACACAAATAAACGAAGTCTATGTGGATAACCAAGTGTGGTGTCTGTATATATTGTATCTCCAAGGATTTAGAAACCCAACAGCACAAAGGATCTGCTCCTTTTGGAAAACAATAGCCATTTGTGAAACATTTTTGCCAATTAATTGCCAGAGAAAAATTAACCCTTATTATTGCAGATGTTTCCAAAGAGATTCTAAATAATCACTCAGCACTTTGCAGAGGGAGGAGGGTCTGGAGCTGCCTTGGGCTTGAGCTTGCCCTTTCAGTGGCTGCAGTGCTGGAATTCCCAAAGCCATTAAGAGATTTAGGAGCAAACAACCCCCTGATTTCAATGGATACAAAGGGTTAAATTTCTCCCAAGGTTTAAAAACCCCAGCACAGACTAGGACTGGCTTCACCACCACTGTGCTGGAACTTGGCAGTGGCTTAAGAGGACACATCAGCACTAAACAACAGCTTGGAACAGGAAGAGAAGATGAATATCTAAGCCGATTGAAACTGCAGAGGAAATATCACACAGGCTGGCTGGAAGGGACCCAGCAGGCTCAGCCTAATGACTCTGGGGTTAGGCAAAGCTCTGCTCTGCTCAGGGTCTCACTACCAGCCATCCCTAGCCCCCATCAGCAGCTGGAAGCAGTAGCCAGAACCTCCCTCTAATAATACAGCTGAAAAAATCAGTCATCTGATTATCTGATTATTTAGATACCTTCTAAAATCCAAACCAGCCCATTAATATGGAAGCACTGGTGGCCAGGGATGTCTGGGAGGAGATGGAGGATCAAATTCACCCTCGTGTTCCTTTTATACAGAATATATGAAAAAAAAGTCTTCCAAAACATAAATACTTCCTATTTAGGATACAAGTAGGAGGAGCATTGCCCTGTTGCTTCAAACAGAAAAATAAATAACTATCTAAACTCTTTCACCCAGGAGTCCCAGAAGACTCCAAAATTTCCTGGTTATCTAGGAAAAGCCATTTACACAAGTGCTGTTTCCCAAGCCACGAGCCATAAATCACCTCCAGCCTCTGCACAGGGACATCCCAAGAGCTGAAACTCCCGAGAGCTGGGACGGCAGCCAGAACCCTCGGGAGCAGCCGCTCGGGGCTCCCACACCGGGGCCGTTCCACCTGAAGCCTGTGGTGTCTCCAGCTCTTCCTGAA